GTATTAGATGTAAAACATCAACCTGTACATATAGGATACTTAAGTGTAACACTCCATATTATATAATGGTTGATTCCATATTTAAGTTATGATATAGTATAATTGTATATTTGATATGTATGTTACACTCCCGGGAATAACAAATGGCCAGTCTATTCAACTGCTTCGTACTATCGATAACTCGGATGGACAACTCGAAGTCGCTCTATGCGATGTAACGTATTACCTGAGGTGGACCAATATAAATACTGTGAAAAGAAATAATGAGATAATGTTATTATCCTCATATGGCACTGTCAAATCCATTACTATACCTGATGGGTATTACAGCGTAAGCTCACTCAATGATGAAATTTTTAAGCCTAATGGAATTAGTCTCACACAAAATGAGGCGGTTGGGACAGTGAAATTCGACACTGGAGATCCAAATATAATTTTATTGGACCCATCACCTACACTTGAATTTACACGCTTAGTTGGCACAATTAACAAGTTACCAGATCAGGAGGTTAAATTACCCGATTTAGTTCCCTATAAAGAGTTGTGTATCCATCTTGATCAAATAAGCACGACGGATAATATTCAACAAGAAAGTCCTTCAACTCTGCTCAGAAGTGTTCCAGTGAAAAATGAAAAATATAATAGCGGTAGAACGGAATCTTTCTCATCATTACAATATAAAAAATTAAAGCGTGGTATGATTTCAGACCTCAAAATTTCTGTATTAGATGTAAAACACCAACCTGTACATATAGGATACTTAAGTGTAACACTCCATATTAAAAATAATGGTTGATGCATCAGGCCCTGGAACACTAAGACAATGTAATACAATTGCGCTTTCCGATCTCGGAGACACAGAAGGATTTGATAAACCCGGTTACAATGGTAAGTTATACGCTTTACACTTACACGATAATGTATACAAGCGGAAAGAAGTCACATTCACGGGTAATCTAGGAGATTTAACCGATGTCGATGTTAGTAGACTCCTTAAAAACACTTCGTACAATATTACTCGCAACGACGATAATAAATGGACTATGGTCGAAGCAAACATCGAGTGGCTACTGAATATCGTCATTACCCCACCTTATGTGATGATGGGTAAGGGACATAATTTAACTAAGATAATAAATAGTGGCATCGTACTCGCGGCTTATATCCCGTCAAAACGAAAAAGTGTGTTGGTCACTCCCCTGCCAGAAAACCCAGGTCATATGTTATATAGTCGTCCGGCCTTAAAAAATGTTACTTTAAATTTGATTACTGAATTCGAAGATATTAAAGATAACTTGAGTGCAATACCTAATCTTTCCACGCTTATTATTGAAGTCTTGTTCGGAGATGCACCGGTAGATGCCTTCGAAATATTACCAGGTCTATCGATTAAATGGCTCAAGAAACACGAGCGTCAACGTTGCAGTATTATTCATATCGGAGCATCGCCCATTGCAGCCCTCGAGGGGGTCCAAATTATTAAAAGTGACAGCATTTCTCTTTCTAAGATATTCTTGCCGTATAATATACATTTGATAAGGTTGATGTATAGTCTCAAAACATTTAAGCAAGACCAATTAAAGACTATTATATGATCGTAATATACACTATGAGTTTATATCCGGCGCTCAATGAAGCATTTGAAAAGATGGAAACTGTTGATGGATTTTGATTACATCAAATAAGCGACATAAAACATCGAATAGAGAAGGATAGGGAGTTGAGACTTGGATTGTATAAAAAGTATCGCAGAGCCGTGAATGCTCTGGACGGAGTTGACACCGCTCTTGTAGTATCTGGCATGGGACTCGGTGTAGCGGGTATCAGTTTACTATCAACTATAATTGCTGCGCCTATCGTGCTCGGCATGGAAATAACCGCTGGAGTCTCGGGACTGGCAGGAATAGCGATAAAATTCATTTCTCGTAGGTTACAAAAGAAAGCATTAAAACACGATAGTATTCGGATACTCGCCGAAGCAAAGTTGAACAGCATTGAGGATCATATTTCGACAGCAATGGCTGATTGTAAGATATCCGAGGATGAGTTTCATCTAGTGCTGTCGGAACTCACCAAATACAACGAAATGAAGCAGGAGATTCGATCAAAATCTCGTAAGACCAGTGGTATTAGCGAAGACGAGAAAAAAAAGTTCATAGAACAGGGGAGGCAACAAGCGCGTCAATTATTCCGTGCCAAAACCAAAGAACTGGTCGGAGATTAAAAATAGATTGCTTACTATCGTTTGATCACATTTAGACAAATGCTTACATAAATATATATAATAATGGAGAAAGCTATTAAATGGAGAGAATTACCACAAGGTTTTTATTATATCAGTGATGTCAAACCAACCAAATACGGTTATCAATTGTTTCTTATCAATTTACAAAAAGATTGTAGTTATAAAGTCTGGTCTCCTAGTAAAATGAACGAAGAACTTAATAAAAATGTTGAATATCGCTTTATCGATAAAAATAATGAAGAATATTTTTATTACCATTTAGACTCATCTAAAGCAATGATTGGCCCCAGGTATTGGTGAGCTGGAGTCAATTTAGCTGAATCTTATGACTATCGTTAAATCGCATAATCATTTTGGCATAAAAAATTCCTCCTGTAGTGGTGATATAGGTATATGAATCTGGCTCCAGTGGAAGTGGTCCAGAACCCCCATTACCTATACTACTCCTTTACATGTGCCCTGCTAGACTGTGCATCTGGTGTTCAATCATGTCAGTAGTAGGAGTTTCGTTGCTTGTTGTGCAGATCTCAAACTTACTCAATGAAAATGTGAAAATAAAACATCGCTAGAAACGATGAGGTATCATGATTTACACTTTCAATTGCATTTATTAACTGTATTCTAGGCATTGTTTTATAAACAGAGAGATTAAATTAACATATGTAATTGTCTCATAATATAAGCCAGGTATAGCAAAAAGCTGCATGTGTGCACACTTTTTCGGGTGATTCAGTTAACAAATGGTTAAATCAATGCCTATTAATATAATGACTGAAAAGATCTTTTAATTTAATGATAGGAAGAGATTGTATCTAATGACAAAGGTTCGTTTCAAGGAGGTCAGTAGCATTCTGATCATGGTTGCTGTAAATAATGATGAGTGTGTAATCTGCCGATCATTTCAAACACCGTTTCGCTGAAATTAATGTAAACAATATTTTTAATGAAATCCTGAATGAATTAATATAATATATTACAAATGTAAGTCCAGATTCACAATGGATGCTTTTATAACGAGATGCATGCTCACGGCAATGTCTTTGCAATATACTCAAGAAAGTACAGTAATCAAATATTGCACAGTACCTTTTTATTAATTTTTTTTATTATTATTGTTATACATGTACAAAGGAATTCTGTCTGTCAGTTGGCCTTTGTGCGACCTATAACTTGAAAACTTCTACATAGATTCTTTTCAAACTTGGTGCACACTTTTTGCAGACCGAAGTTTGATTTCAGTATCTGAATTTTCTGAAGAAATACAGCTTCATTTTATTCACTTAGAAGTATTTTACTTTTCTTACATTTGAGCAACCTTTTACTTGAAAAAGACTACTGCATGTATTCTTTTCAAATTAAGGGTACAGTTTCAATGGTTCAAAGCAGTATATGTATTTGTGTTATTTTAAGATGTTTTAATGATCACAAATTTTATAATCATTGCTCTGTAGAGATATTATAAAATTGTGTTAAGAAAACTAATACTACTTTTCATGATATTACAACAATGAGGCCAAGGTGACCATGAACACATGCATCAGCTAGCAAATGACCCACATACAGCAGGTTAACTGGTTGGTAAACGTGGAATATAGTTTTTGTGCTTTATACATGATATATTGATAGTATACATTGGATAACATGAAGATTCAAAGCAGTTGATTTCTGTTATTTACAAGAGTACAAAAGCTTTGTCTTCCTTTTTGAAGAGTTACCAAGCTGACCACCTCTCGCTCCTTCAAATTGGACAAAAAGAGACTATTAAATCTGAAATTTACTCATCAAGGACTACATTTATGTTGGAAGGCCCTGTCCCAGGTTGATTGTACACAACTGTTTATTTGTTCACATACTAGTTTGGAAACACCTAAACATAAAAGAAAAACCTTCCGACCTCACTATTTTTCCAGAAGCCATTATCTGAGAACCAATATTAATTTCATTTCTATTGACAACTATTCACAAGCTTATTGGTGCAGCCTGTTGATATGTGTGCATCATGATAGACCTGTATAGGTGTGAGGGAGTGAGGAGTCAAGTGAGGTTCCAGTGTTTGTTCCAGTGTCTGTCACTTCTCCTCAGAAACTACTTGACCAATCAACTTCACATGCTTGTTCCCATGATGAAAACCCAATTTGTTCAAATGGCTCAAATCTGATTTTCAATATGGTCACAACAGTACATGTGTAGTTAGTAGTGGGGTTCAACAGTTATGTTCCGTTTTGAAGGTGATATTTTTAGTTTTGACTTTACAATGAGCATGCCGTAAATTCTCTCAAAATGATTATTTGACTCTGTGAATTCTCCCCAGAAATAGCCAGACTTAGAGAGTTGGGCCCCATTCCACAAAGCGATCATAGCACTAAGACTGTCATAATCCTATATGAAAGTATTGGAGTTACGATCACCTTAGCGCAACGATTGCTTTGTGGAATGGGTCCAAGAACTTTGGCATGTATGTTTCTCCTTATGATGTCATCATTTAATATGCTTAGTTTTTAGTCGTCAGACTTTATGCAGAAAATATTAAGTGCTGACAGCAACTTTTTAAGTGTCTGTCTTTGTTGACATAATAAACTGTGGACTACATATCCAGGTGTGCTACATGCAGTGCCAACCAGTTATGTTACTAACCAGATTGGAGTGTGACAATGAAGTGCATGTTTTAGATGTTTTCTTGTTTACCTAGTTCAATTTGTCTACACTAACAGTGTTGGTGTAATATAACCTCAACTTGATGCTCATGTCCAAACAGGAAAATGATTCCAAACGAGCTCGAGCTGTAAAGAAGGCGAATGATGAAAGGGACATGAAGAAACAGAAAGATAAAGAGATAGAGCGGTGAGACTCACTTCTTGATTCTGGTGACAGTATCATGGGATGTGACTTTTGAAGGCATTTTCACAACAGGATCACAGTACTTACAAGTTATATGCTCATGGGACAAAGAAGTGAGAAGTATTTGTAACACAATTATAAATGTAGTCTTTCAATCAGTTTCCCAGGAATGTTTGACCATATAATGTGTGATTTGTAACTTTTATTAGACATAGCTCTCAACTCAAGAATATTCAACCAGAGATCATATACCGATATATGGTCTCTGATTATGCTCAAACTTGAAACTTCAGGCTATGTTGAAGCTCAGTGGACTCCTATTTGATTTGTTGGAGCACCTTTAGAATACAGTACCACAACTTCTCGTGAGGACGATCTCTGCCGTAGGTCACATGTCTCAAAGACAAGCAACCAGTCTTTATGAGAATCCATCGGACGCGAACTTGCGACCTTTCGGATTGTTAGCCCAACAGCTAACCAACTGAGCTATGTCCACACTGTGAAACAAAGTGCAAATTTATCTAGTCATGCCTACGACGTTATGGAACTGAACGAAAAGGGTCGAATAGGTGACGGACCCTTACGAAGGTTACGGGTAGGCATTGTGTCTTGTGACTTTAGTCTATCGACACTTACGAATGATCCCGATGCCATTTGGCACACTCATCCCATTCCGTAATCTACAAGATAACGAGTGGCGAGGATTGATCCGATATGGCGCGAACTGAAAACGGCTCCAGGCGTCAGACGTCAGACGTCGAACTCGCGAGTACGCATGAATGATGTGTTATTTAATAATTCGTCGGGTTGATTTTGTGACAGAAAAGTGTGGTAGGGAACACTGTAAGGATGATGTGGATAATAGTAAGGAATGAGGGAGGCATGTGCATGGCTAGTGACGACACAACGGTGAGTTCGCTTTTGAATCAATACTGAAAAAATGTAGCCGGTGAAAGTGGCTTGTGTGAATGTTCCAGGACAGTTTCCAGTAGCCAAAGTATTTGACACAAAACCATTTCATTCTTTTTACTCGATGTTTTTGTGTGAAGAATATTAGGAGCCGCTATAGAATCTATAATAGAAACTAAACGGGTAGATTTACCAAACCCTAATGATCGTGAAGGGATGATTGATCGTAAAGGGGATCCAAGGGCTAAGGACAGAATTCGGGTAATCTAATAGCCACTAAACGGGTACCTAACCCTAATGATCAAAAAGGGGCGATTGATCGTAAAGGGGATCCAAGGGCTAAGGATAGAGTTCAGGGTAACCTACCCTAACACTAGCGATATTTGAATGTGTTCAGCGCCAATATAATATCCCTAATAAACTACATTCTTGTGCATAATAATGAAAATTAATGCACCGAAAAAATAATGTATGTACAGTAAACTACGGTTATAATGAACTCAAAGGGACTACTAATTTTAGTTCGTTATAACCGTAATTCGTTATAAGCATATATACAGCATAACTACAGCATATAGTCGGGACTAAAAAGTTAGTTCGTTATATCCGTTAGTTCGTTATAAGCGTGTTCGTTATAACCATAGTTTACTGTTTATTAGTTCCCTTTATAACCCTTTTCGCCACTTGAACTACGAGAAAAACGAAATAAAAAATATATAAAAAATAAAAGTGCTTTTGTAAACTAGCGCTTGCTATAAAATGCGCCGCCGCAGGCTATATTCAGTTAACAAATATTCAAAACTCTCCACAGCGCTTGGCGTATTCAATGACATTTCGTGTAGAGATGGTAGATCACTGGGAGGAGCTTATGCACACTCGATGACCCCTGACGTCACAGGGCATTGTTTCGCCAGTGTGACTGGCAACAAAATACTACAAATTACGTCATAGGGTATTGTCACGTGTTTGAAAAGTTTGTGGTACTGTATTCAAAAGGTAGGCCGATTTGTTCATGGCAGTAAACTGAACCATAAGACACAAGAAGCTGAAGCTTGTCTAGCAACTCAGATCATGGCATCAACATGAAAAGAGTAACCATGTTTGTAGTTCAAAACATTATGAATTACAAACTATTCTCCTAAAATAACAGAGTTTGCTGATTGGGTTTCATTCATTGCAAGAAACAGAAATTCAGTTTATTTAAAAAAATGAGAAAAGAAATATTCAAATTAAAACAGATTTATGCCACTATTGACACTGTTTATAAAATGACTTTCAGCTCTCTCCATCATGAAGTGAAAATATTGCATGACGAGTACAAAATAATATCTACTTACCCTGCAGGACAAGTTGGGTTTAAGAAATGTTTTGAGCCCTGAACTTACTACCTTGGTCACAGCTGCACGCTGCACGCTGGTGATGTGTATGCGTTCAACATTAAGCAGGTGCAGGTTGACCAAAGACCTCATGTGACTGTTCATCTAAGTCTGATGTGGGACTTCATTGCTAAAAATTCAGTATGTGCATCAAGAGAACCACTGGTTCAGACTGGCTGCATTCCTGGGACAACTCATATTAGCTAAGCAGTTGGCCGTGTAGCCTGCACACAACTTGAAATAACCTTGAAGTTGAAGGTTATCAGATCTTTTGTCTTTAGCATATGGTATCATAACAAATATTCTGAAGGATTGTTGGCCTCATGTTGTGATTTGCAACACTTTAATGTTAGAGGAAGGATGTGACAGGTGAAACAGGATTTGTAAAGATGAGGCACTCAAGGAGCCAGACTCTAGTCCATGACATAATCTAGTCCAGATTACCAACAAATCAGCATCACAAACTACAGACGACAACGCCAACTATGGGATAAGTTTGCAATAGGTTTTGTTTGTTTGTTTGTTGTTTAACGCTGCACTCGGCAATATTCCGTCCATATGACGGCGGTCTGTAAATAATCGAGTCAACCAAGTCAGCAAGCTTGACCACACAATCCCGTTAGTCGCCTCTTATGACAAGCATAGTCACCTTTTACGGCAAGCATGGGTTGCTGAAGACCTATTCTACCCCGGATCTTCATGGTAGTAAGAAAAAATCAATGTAAATGAGAATAGTTATTATACTAGCATGCTTTTCCTGATACAACAAATCGAAAACCAACCCTGCATTACCCAGTCTGAACGATTTTAGCAGTATTCAGATGAGAAGAAAGAGAGGGTTCAAAGGGCGGTAACTCAGATCAGTAACCTGGTGGAGAAGCGCCCTCTAGCGGAGACACAGGTTTTTGGTCAATGTTATGGGATCAAAAGCGAGGGAATTTGCAATAGGTTGTATCAGGATAAGTACTGATATACCGATAATAAATATTCTGATTTATTGAATATATACTCACTCACTATAATAAAGCTCCTACAGAACTTATAACTGCAGTACAATGTAAGTGTTTGTGCAGGTTAAAGGAAGACACATCAGTGGTGGCCAAGGACAAAAACAAGCTACAACGGAAGCTAGAGAGGTACACCATCTACCACAAGTTCATGGAGAAGGTGCTGGAAGCAGGAGAGGAGTTCCATGAGATGCGTGACATCATTGCCCGTCATGACACACTCACTGCCACACATGAGGTAACTGAACACTTTCACCACTTTATGATTTATATTTGTGAATAATCATAACTTTGTGTCATTGAGATTACTTGAAAGCCAATGTGAACTCCTGTTATTGTTACTTAACCTGCTGAAGAAAATATACATCATCATGCAGATACAGCAATGCATGTTTGTGTGCAGGACTTGCTGGAACGGGAACAGAAGAACCAGGAGGTGATAGAGAAGCAGAGGCAGACACTGCTCAAGTACATGGAGGTAGGTTGTTCTGTCAGACACTGCTCAAGTACATGGAGGTAGGTTGTTCTGTCAGACACTGCTCAAGTACATGGAGGTAGGTTGTTCTGTCAGACACTGCTCAAGTACATGGAGGAAGGTTGTTCTGTCAGACACTGCTCAAGTACATGGAGGTAGGTTGTTCTGTCAGACACTGCTCAAGTACATGGAGGTAGGTTGTTCTGTCAGACACTGCTCAAGTACATGGAGGTAGGTTGTTCTGTCAGACACTGCTCAAGTACATGGAGGTAGGTTGTTCTGTCAGACACTGCTCAAGTACATGGAGGTAGGTTGTTCTGTCAGTCACTAGGCCAAGTTGTCTTTCAGGTGTAACTCCATTATTAAATTTTCTTAATAAAGTGACATTTAATCACCACAATTTTGCACAACTCTCAGATAACAAGGTAAGAGGAAACATTCCAACAAACAAAAATTGGTCAGATAAATTGTGATTACTTCCAAACAGATAATTGTGTGAGTCAATTGTTAAGTTTATTTATACATATAAATGTAGTTGGTCAGTCAGGTCAGCAAGTTAGGCATAGCTCATCTTTCAAGCCCTGATTGTGAAAAATCTAATCCATACCCTGATAGTGAAAATCTAATCCCTAGTTAGTTATGATAAATTCAAACAAGATTTGTTTGTTTGTTGTTTAATGCCATACTCAGCAATGTTTCAGCTATATGATGGCGGTCTGTAAATAATTGAGTCTGGAACAGACAATCCAGTGATTGACATCATGATCATGGATCCACACAATTGAGATACGATAAAATGCATCAACCAAGTCAGTGAGCCTGACCACACGAACCCGTTAATCGCCTCATACGACAAGCATAGTCACCTTTTACAGAAAGCATGGGTTGCTGAAGACCTATTCTACCCCGATCCCCACAGGTCAATTCAAACAACAGCATGTATGTTTATGTTAACAAGTGAGCCTGAAGGTTAATCATCCATTTTCCCACTTGACTCACCTGGTCAGAGAAATGTGCTTAGCAGTCATCACATAGTATCTGAATCCAGCTTGCAGGCAGCTGACAGGTGTCTGGGCGGTACCAGCGGTACCGGCAGAGATTGAGTGTGGCCATTAACATTGTCACTGACTGTTGCAGGAGAAGGACAACGAGATCCTGGGCTACAACAACCAGCTGTCTGGACTTCAGACACGGCTGGACAAAGCACAGAGCGCTGCGGTCAAATGGGAGTCAAAGTGGACACACATCAAGAACACTGCTGCAACCAAGACACTACTACTTGGCAGAATTAAAATGTAAGTGTAGATAGAATCTGTGTTCACTTCATATTCTGTTTGAGGGTGGAGGGATTTTTCACCATAAGTCTTGTTCATCATCTTTCCTTTTACAACTTAAGGATCTGAATTCAGAGCTTTATGAATAGTGTTACAAGGTGATATCCAAGTTGAAGTGCAATGGGTCCTACAGAACATAATTATAAAACCAGTAAATGACCACACAATATTTAGATTTAGTACTAACTACTAAATGACTTTTTCGCGCGTATCCAAACCATTGGCTAATTACGCCCGTAACCTAATCACCCCTTGTAACTGAATCACCCCCGGGTCAGCACCCTGCACCGTGCCCGGTGCAATAACCCCGCGCAAGCGTCATCCCTCCTTTGTTACATCCTATAGTCCATCATTCGCGCAGCATCTCTCTTCAAGTACACACGTGTTTCGCTGTATCTAATCGCTTTCCCACCCACCCACCCAGCTTGCCACTACACAATACCAATGAGTATTGAACAAATTATATTAAAACATATAGTTTTAGGTTTACAATCACAAAAGGCAATGGGTCAAATAGTTGGAAGCAACAATAAGTAACAAGCCCAATTGTATGTTAGTGCACTAAAGAATGTCCAGATTTAAGTCACTGCCAAATGTCTTGTAACAGGCCTGTCTCTGTTCTTGAATCTGGTAGTGTTGAAAGCTGGCAGGAATTCAGTGTTTTATATAAGGTATCCAATCTGCACTTGACAAGTAGATAAGATGCAAGTAGGGTCATGAAAGGCCTTGAACTGCCCTCGCTCGTATACAGGTACAGACAACAACCAAGGGAGGCAACTCAAAATCACTCTTTCTACTAAATCTGTCCACCGCAGCACTCAACATTTTACAAGTGTTTAAGCCATTTCCGAACACTCACAAGTACTACCAATAACCTGACAACAATCTAAACTGCCCCATAACAATAGTAATAATATCCATGTTTATGCTTACTCACTATAACTGTACTACTTTATAATACTAATATATACTAATATTCATAAACAAGATAAAAACAGTGAAATGTACAGATTTTTTACTTGTCCTGCATTACTCCTTTAAGCATTCACTACTTACCTTACAACAAAAGATGGGACAGCTTAACAGCGATGGTCCTGGGTAAAGAAATATAACTGTTGTTCGTAGTCCCACTTTTGGTGACTACCGCCGCGGTCCTGTGACCTTGATGACGTCACAGGTCACCTCTTCACATCACTGCCTGTCGCCTGAGGTTTTGAGGTGACTGAAGCCAAAGTGGGGATGCAAGTCAGTGACGGGTGGGACTTTAACGTTGTAATGCAGGATAAGTATACAAATGTAAAAAATATTTAGATTTTTACTAATATTGTATCTTAAGTGGCATTTTGGAAGCTGAAGTATCAGTGAAGACAAATTGACCTATGGATTTCACCCTCTTCATTTATAGGCCAATGCAAAGTTTTAGTAGAGATGCTTGTACCTTTATCAAGCAAGTGATGACTCATTGAAATATAACACAAGTTGAAATCAAAGTCAAACTCTGTCTTCATTGTACAGTATTGTCATGATTATTTGGTGGAATTCATGTATCATATATTCATTGCTATGACACTATCTCTGTTGCCAGGGCAACACACAACCTGTACCAGCTGGTGAAGAGACACCAGAAACAGTCTGCCCAGGTTGAGGACACTGCGGAGCAGTTATCACAGGTATGGCACACACAGACACCTGGTGTCTCACACTATTGCTGGCCAGTCCCATGGAAAGCTCTCTCTACATATCTTGTCTCTGCTCTCACTTTCATTGATCACGACTTTCTGTTAACCATCAGGCCTTGTAACTTTGTCTTTTTCCATGAAAACTGTAGGGTAGCAGAGAGACATTTAGCCTGAGAACAGGTTAAGAGATTTCCAGCCAGTTAAAGAAAGTGGCTGTATATTTACATTTTTCTGTTAGAGCAAGTTGGTTGTGCGTGGAAAGTTGCTCTAATTGTCTACACCGCCCCGTGGTCAGTGGTACCGAATGTTCTGTAGTGATTTCTGAATGTAACCAGCCAACTGAAGGTACCGGTACTATTCATCCCATGGCACTAAAGGTTATTGTGAGCACACCACCCACAAAGAGACTAACCAGAGATCTAATTTGCTGAAAGTTGTGCACATAACAATAGCTGGATGGCATCTATGACAGATACACATGCACTTCATACAGTAAATGTAACTAAATATAAGTTGGAATAAGAATTCTCATTCGCAATAACTTTTGTAACTAGCATGTAAATGTGAGCAATAAATATCAATCTCAGACACTTGCTGACATCACTTTAAGGAACTATTTGAACAAAACATTAAATGTTTGCTTGCTGTCTGTGCTACTGAACACTGGGTTGTAGACTCTGCTAGTCAGTTGTATCATATACAATCTAGCTATTCTGAGTGGTGTCATGTGCTAGTCATCATTCAGGGTCATGAATATTCATTTTGAAATCAACATCATGTTTATGAACATGTTCTAAATCAAGGTAAATCAACAGGTTTCACCATATTTCAGCCTTTAACAATTTAATGATTAAAAACTAATATGTTTTATGAAAGGTATAGAAATAAACATTGTCGTTCCGTATGATTAAACCTACAACTGTTTGAAATAACTGTTATTGTTTATATAATGATATTATATATTTCTCTAATCCCTCACATTTGTTTTCTATTTCAGTTATTGATTAATTATTTCACTGACTTTGAGTTTATTTCAGATCACTAATCACTTATGTTTTTCTCTAACCTTCCTTTCAGTTTATTTTCAGTTTTCAAACATCACTACACAACTTCTTCACATGTAACCATCTGCAGTGTTTTCTTGGCAAAAGATCAAAATATGTATCATAGCCCTGGAATAATTCTTGTTCAAAATCCTAATGTGGACTGTGCTAATATATAAGGTTACTCTGCTAGGAATGATAAGGCCACAATTCTCTTGCCAAGAAAACCAGCAGAACCTAGCCACTTGCCCTTACACAGATCCTCCCCCATCACAGACCTATCACTCACACTGCAGTCTCTTTGTCCACTCTACTAACAGCACTCTCATAGCAAATAACAGTCACCGAACTAACTTGTTCACAGAATAGTACCGCAATATCATTGGAAACACTTGCTCAGTCATTTTGAAATTCAAATGCCAATCTAACATTCAAGATGTGAGTGAGGTTTTTTTTTATTTTCTGGGCACTGTTGGCATTGCAGATTTACTATAGACTTGCTTCTTTAAATTTAGTGGGTGACCATTTGGTTGATTGATTATTGTTTCACACCAGTGAGAAATATGTCAGACAAAGTGGGGTTTCTAACCAACATCCAAGGGGCATGATCACACACAGCCAGGTGACACACTGTCTCCACCAGATCTTTAAGACATACCAAGGGTACTGTGGACAAGGGTACTGCCACAGAGTCACTGGGGACAATCCACATGTGGTCAGCTTTACCTGTGTATTGTCAACATGCATATGACCTGCAAGAGAGTCATGGCAACTGTTATGTTGATCTTGTGACCACTGGTCATCTTATTTGTGACTCCTTATATCATACTGACATCAGCATATTCTGCTGTGTGTCGGTAAAATGTTGTCTGTCACCCTGTGGTTAGCCTGTGTGTCATGTCATGTCATGCCAATATCAGCATATTCTGCTGTGTGTCAGTAAAGTGTTTAGTCTTTGTCACCCTGTGGTTGGCCTGTGTGTCATGTCATGTCATGCCAATATCAGCATATTCTGCTGTATGTCAGTAAAGTGTTTAGTCTTTGTCACCCTGTTGCTTGTTTGTTGTTTAACGCTGCACTCAGCAACATTCCAGCTATATGACGGCGGTGTGTAAATAATCGAGTCTGGACCAGACAATCCAGTGATTGACGTCATGAGCATAGATCCACGCAATTTGGATCGATGACATGTATCAATCAAGTCAGCGAGCCTGATCACCTGATTCCGTTAGTTGCCTCTTACGACAAGCAGAGTTGCCATTTAAGGCAAGTATGGGTTGCTGAAGACCTATTCTACCCCAGATCTTCACAGGTCTGTCACCCTGTTGTTGGCCTGTGTGTCATGTCATGCTGACATCAGCATATTAGGTTGTGTGTCAGTAAAGTGTTTAGTCTTTGTTACCCTGTGTTTGAAGTTGACTGCAGGAATTATGGTCATACACTTGACGTGTTACAAAATGTATATGGTAACTCCTAACATGATATGTAGTCACATGCTAGCTAACTAGAGAAGTAGATTGCTGTTATATAACAGACCAACTGTAACCTGAAGTCGATCATTGTGTCACGAAGTATGTTGCTTTAACACAAAGTAATTTGCTGTAACACGAAGTATGTCACTGTAACATAAAGTGGATCACTGCGTTATGAAGTACATCACCGTAAATTGCTGTAACACGAAGTATGTCACTGTAACATGAAGTAGATTCGTGTAGCATGAAGTAGATCTCTGTAGCATGAAGTAGATCACTGTTACATGAAGTAGATCGCTGCAACACACAGAATGTATATGGTAACTCCTAACATGATATGTAGTCGCATGCTAGCTGACTAAAGACGTAGATTGCTGTTATATAACAGACCAACTGTAACATGAAGTATATCACTGCAAAATGAAATAGATCACTGTAACCTGAAGTCGATCACTGTGTCACAAAGTACGTTGCCTTAACACAAAGTAATTTGCTGTAACACGAAGTATGTCATTGTAACATGAAGTAGATTGCTGTAACACAAAGTATGTCACTGTAACATGAAGTAGATTGATGTAACACAAAGTATGTCAATGTAACATGAAGTAGATTGCTGTAACACAAAGTATGTGACTGTAACATGAAGTAGATTGCTGTAACACAAAGTATGTCACTGTAACATGAAGTAGATTGATGTAACACAAAGTGTGTCAATGTAACATGAAGTAGATTGCTGTAACACAAAGTATGTCACTGTAACATGAAGTAGATTGCTGTAACACAAAGTATGTCACTGTAACATGAAGTAGATTGCTGTAACACAAAGTATGTCACTGTAACATGAAGTAGATTGCTGTTACACAAAGTGTGTCATTGTAACATAAAGTGGATTACTGCGTTATGAAGTACATCGCCGTAACAAAGTAAATTGCTGTAACATGAAGTAGATTCGTGTAGCATGAAGTAGATCTCTGTAGCATGAAGCAGATCTCTGTAGCATGAAGTAGATCGTGTTACATGAAGAAGATTGCTGTTACATGAAGTAGATCGCTGCAACACACTGTAGATCACTGTGACACAAAGTAGATCACTGTAACATCAAGTAGATTATAGTAACATCATTGACAAACCAGTGTAGCATCATGTAGGGCCCAGTAACCCTCACATACGCATCATAGTACTAAACTCTGTTTGGGGGCAAGTGGTTGTCCCAGCTAGGATGGGAGGGAGACACAGATTGGCTGAATGTGGCGGGGACAACCTGTCCAGTCCATGCTCACGTCAGGTAGGTTCAAGTTTGTACATCAGCCACTGTGCTGGTTCTGTGTATTGGTGCTGTATCACTTGTCCTTGGGTGACTTCATTCAACTGATAGATGCTGACTGTCGGCATTAAGATGGGTGTGATTTGCATAATTTGTTCTGTCTAGATAAAACTTCAGTATACAATTTGAATTTGTGTGATCACTGCCTATGTATATTTTGGGTCTAAAGAAGTCTTAAATGTATGGGCACCAAAGGCAGCACATGCTAGCTTGATAAATATATGAAAACTAGAGATCCATGGATAGTACACATTCAGCTGGCAGTTTGAGTGATGCTGTGTGTCATGTGTTGCAGATCCAGATGTTCCTGGAGGACCTCACTGACATTGTGCTGGAGCTGAAGAAAGGGGACACAACCAACACCTCCATCTTTGCCCCATCATCTAGTTAGCTGCTTGACCTGAATGCAGCCGATGACAAGCCCTAGCCGCTGCCACTCACATGGCGAACAAGCCCTTCATCAATGATATAGCAGAGCTTGAAATTTCAAACATTCTCAAGTCTTTCAACATTTCATTTTTTTCCAGGAGAAAATGATGATTAAAGCACTTAGAAAGTACATGTAACCCTTTTGACTGCATGTTATAATATCTATCCTTATGATTTGGTGCTTCACCTGGATGAATGTGTTGTGGGGACTTGACAGTGTTTCAAATTTTCAGTAATCTGTGTTTCCTTACTGGCAAAATATCAACAGACATTCATTAATAGTTTTGTGTACCAGGTACACGCGATACTGACTTGATATCCTGCACATAACAAGAGTCACACAACTCTTGGCTTTAGCCTCTCAGTGCAACGTGTTTGCTAGTGTGGAAACACAGGTTCTAGCAATATTGATGTTGTGAACACAGAGATAAAACTTGTCCAGCAAGACATTCAACCGACCCTGATTTGTATCATTATGTACTGTCCAGATCCCCGAGCAGTGATGGCAGACAGATGACCCACACACCAAGATGCCGAACAGTTCAGCATCATGATCACTGCGATCATGATCACCTGTTTCTGATGATTGTTCTTTTTCCCTGCCTTTATATGTGTCACCATATCTCCCCAGATCCAAGTGTTCCTTCAAGATCTGAACCAGATTACAGCCGAGATTCGCCGTATGGACCTGTCTGGTGCATCCATCATCCCTCCTTCCTCCAGCTGAACCACCTCCTTCTTGTATTGTCAGGACATATTATGTAAACAAATCAACAGTTGGGAGCTGCATACTTTAATGTGGTACTATTGAAGAGGAAATCAATGTTGAACTGATACATGGACTAAAGTAAAAAAAATATTAAGGACAAACTGAAATAGATTAATGGGCATTGTTATATGCAACCATAAGCATTTATTATTGAGAAGTATTTCTTATGAGAAAATTATCTTTGTGTTTGGATTACCATTGTTTTTTCATTCTGCTTATAAAGGGGTTCCATGTACACATCAACGGGTTTCCTGTCCAATTCACTTCTCACAATATTGCCTGTTCAGCAACTGAGGCTGTCTGAACATTATCTTGAGATGTTTGCAATACTTCAATACTTTGCATGATGATGTACAGACATATCTGCTTCACGAGTCTGAGTCAGACTACCCATCTTCACACACCACTTGTACAGATTGATATATGTTCTGTTTGAAAATTCTAATTGATTTTTTTTTTGTATAAATATTTGACTCATATTGTTGTACATAAACTATTTGAAGACTAAGAGTTATATAATATCTTTTAGTGAAATGAGCTGTTACGTAAAATAGCTTGAGTATCTTCGGCACCACAACAGATGTGACAGGATCCTGTGATCTTTGGTTGGAAACCCCGATGCACCCTGACAGTTATCCACGGTTTTTTAGCATCGTATTGGTAATGGAGGGATTGACATAAATTGTAACCATTAAAGACCTGCATCAATACTTGACTCTTTATTGTCCCCCGCCGCGCGAAAGCGCGAAGCGGGGGATAAAGTATTCACGACCGTCCGTACGTCCGTACGTCCCACCTGTTTGTTGCCGCGATATCTCAAGAACTAAACAGTGGATTGTCTTCATATTTGGAACTATGGTGTATATACCGACTCTGCAGACACCAGTCGGTTTTGGTGACCTTGACCCCATTTTCAAGGCCACAGCAGGCAAATCTGCTTTTGGAGTTTGAAAACGGTGTTGCCCCAATATCTCAAGAACTAAACACTGGATTGTCTTCATATTTGGAACTATGGTGTATATACAGACTCCGCAGACACCAGTCGGTTTTGGTGACCTTGACCCCATTCTCAAGGTCACAGCAGGCAAATCTGCTTTTGGAGTTGGAAAACGGTGTTGCCGCAATATCTCAAGAACTAATCGCTGGATTGTCTTCATATTTGGTACTATGGTGTATATACAGGCGGGGGACATTTCGTCACTTTGTGACAAATACTTGTTTAATGCTGCAGTTAGCAAGATTCCTGACAACGTATAACTATTTGAGTCAGAAACCAGTGACTGAAAGCATAAAGATCCATGTCATGGTGTCACAAGGACACACAATTAGCCATGACACCTGACCACCCTATCCTCTTGAGTCAGGGGTGTCAACAAGCCTGGAAGACTGGGGACCTATTTGCACTGGATACCATATAGTATATAGTATAGTCTGTTTCTTATTTAACTGGAACTCTCATAAATAATTACTGTCTGGCACATCAATCAGCGAGGGGCCTTTAGTAAATATGCCCAATCGTACTCGCGCCAGTGATCTACAGGTGAAGAGTTTCATGTTCATTGTACATTTGTGTAACAATAACCATTAAACCAATAACATGTTGTATATATTGTGCCATTCATCCGTATAGAGTGATTGTACAATATCAGGACGCAGACTATACCATACACACACCGAACCCATGTCACCATTGACAATTAGGAACATCTCAAATTGTGGTCTGTGTGTGTGTTTGTGTTAGTTAGAAGTGTCATATTGAAGAAACCGTGCTTACATCATTCAGTATCATTCACACATACTCAAATGGATGCCCCAAAAGGGTTCACACATTAACATGCCCGTGGAAGGAAAATGCCCAACAGTAATGTATTTTGTGGAAACTATAATTCTGCATGTATCATTTAAGAAGGTGATCATATCCGATATCATGTAACATTAAAAGAACATGATTTCTTGTTTGAGCATTAAATAATTGGCATTGATTGTATGCATGGCTCATGTTGTTTGGGTTTTCTATTAACACCCCTATTAAAGATGTCTGCTATTTGGACATGTTTCCATGTCATGCATTGCATCTAGGAAATCTACATTTTTGTTGTAAACAAACATAAATTACTTTCTAAACATCATTTAGACAAATTCTTCTAATAAAAAGTGATCGGGGGATCAACTTGCTATCAATGTACCACTGTACATGACCAACCCACACAACACAAGACCTGAGTGAATAAACAGTGAGTTGTCAGTTAGCCACAGTCATTTTATGTCAGCAGTCAACAATAGAATGTTTACAATCAATTATAGATGTACATGTACATGAATATTATGTAGAAGGGTTAACATGGGTCCAATAACAAAAATAGTAAAGTTCACTCAGTCAGGGATAAGTGATATTTACTGATCTCATAATTTACTAACTGCAGTAGAGTAATTGCAATTACAAAGAGTAATTGTAATTAGTACTAACTACTAAATGGCTTTATTATCAGGGCTAATTACGACTGAAATAACGCTCCATCCTAGGCAGCAGTGGTAGCAAATTGCTTTGGGCAGTCCGTAGTTGCCTATCGCCTCATAGCCTAAAAGCTACATCCCCATACCTCAAACATATTTAGGATTTAATAATCTTTAAACATGTTTGACAGGTTATTACAATGAAGAAATATTGTTTCACACTGGCAGCACTAACCTCCCTTGTTCATTGAGTACATAATGAACATTGAGTTCATATGTGTCAGTCATGAAAAAATAACATTAACAACATTACAGAGCCAATATAAAGCTAACGCTGACTCATAACCATCTCCTTTTGTCACAACATGGCGAACAAGACACTGGCCAAGGCGGAAGTGAGCAATGCTAAAAGGTCTTGGCCTGAAACTGAAATAGGATACCCCTTCTCTCCACTGCTGCTGCGTGCAATCTACCAGGCGGAATAGTAAAATCACTGTTTACATACCTTCTAGGCGCTGATTAATGTACCAGAAATCACTAAGCTGTTTTCTCAGTGTTGGTAAATATTGAATTATATAGACAGCAGTATCATTATTATACAACATACAACAATTTACGTATGATTGATTGCAATATACCCAACACTCTTATACATTACCCGAGTGGGTGTTCACACAAGATACATACTGTGTTTGTCACAATAGTTATTCCTAGGTCAACAACGTAATAGTTATACAGAAGTGACACAGTCTGTTCACAGTAGTATAACAAGAAGAATATATACAATAAAACACACAAGTATCACATGTCGGGTAGCAGATCATTTAGCCTGGGAACAGGTGGAACAAGAGGCTGTATATTTACATTTTTCTGTTAGAGCAAGTTGGTTGTGCGTGGAAAGTTGCTCTAATTGTCTACACCGCCCCGTGGTCAGTGGTACCAAATGTTCTGTAGTGATTTCTGAATGTAACCAGCCAACTGAAGGTACCAGTACTATTCATCCCATGGCACTAAAGGATATTGTGAGCACACCACCCACAAAGAGACTAACCAGAGATCTAATTTGCTGAAAGTTGTGCGCATAACAATAGCTGGATGGCATCTATGACAGATACACATGCACTTCATACAGTAAATGTAACTAAATATAAGTTGGAATAAGAATTCTCATTCGCAATAACTTTTGTAACTAGCATGTTTGTTTGTTTGTTGTTTAATAATGCACTCCGCAATATTACAGCAATATGACGGCGGTTTGTAAATAATCAAGTCTGGACCAGACAATCCAGTGATTGACATCATGAGCATCGATCCACGCATCAACCAAGTCAGCGAGTCTGACCACCTGATCCCGTTAGTTGCCTCTTACGACAAGCAGAGTCGCCATTTACGGCAAGTATGGGTTGCTGAAGACCTATTCTACCCCGGATCTAAACGGTAGTACAACAGTGTAGGTGAGACTGATCGAGGTAACGCTGTTTGTTGATTCCGAAATCACCAGAGCTATCTTAACTTGGCTACATATGCTGCCTTAACATGGCCACAGATGCCGCTTGGACATGGCTACAGATGCCGCCTTGACATGGCTACAGATAGCTCCTTGACATGGTTACAGATGACGTATTGACATGGCTACAGATGCCGCATTGACATGGCTACAGATGCCGCATTGACATGGCTACAGATGCCGCATTGACATGGCTACAGATGACGTAGCCAACATGGCTACAGATAGCGCATTGACATGGCTACAGATGCCGCATTGACATGGCTACAGACGCCGCATTGACATGGCTACAGATGCCGCATTGACATGGCTACAGATAGCGCCTTGACATGGCTACAGATGCCGCCTTGACATGGCTACAGATGCCGCATTGACATGGCTACAGATGCCACCTTGACATGGCTACAGATAGCGCCTTGACATGGCTACAGATGACGTATTGACATGGCTACAGATGCCACCTTGACATGGCTACAGATAGCGCCTTGACATGGCTACAGATGACGTATTGACATGGCTACAGAAGCCGCATTGACATGGCTACAGATGCCGCATTGACATGGCTACAGATGCCACCTTGACATGGCTACAGATAGCGCGATGTTGACGTAGCCAACATGGCTACAGATAGCGCCTTGACATGGCTACAGATGACGTATTGACATGGCTACAGAAGCCGCATTGACATGGCTACAGATGCCGCATTGACATGGCTACAGATGCCACCTTGACATGGCTACAGATGACGTATTGACACGGCTACAGAAGCCGCCATGACTTGGATACAGACGCCACCTTGACATGGCCATAGATCGCCTTGACATGGTAAATGATGCCGCCTTGCCACAAACGTTTCGATTTCTTGAACGCAACAACGTGGCGTTCGTTCTCATCGTCCGCGTTTTCAGAAAAAAACTGGAATATGTTTCTCCTGTAAACATTACTCTTTGCTAGTTTCAGTTCTACCAGTGTCAGAGTTACGTCTCGTAGTGGTCCGTATTGTAGCGACGCAGTCTTCTGGGCACTGTCCAGTGACTGACAGGATAACTGTTGCAGCTGCAACGTCATCGTGATAATGCGATTACTCGATGGAGAATCCTAAACAAACAGGTGTTATTTAGTCGAACCGTTTGGAAAGTTAGACATTCACAGTATTATATAAAACAGTAATCGTTTAATGACCATACATTTGAATAGAATTCTGCATAAAATTAACATTTAAGACTTGTCTGTGTAATATCAGAAGTAACCCAATCGTCTCTATTTCTCCAAAGTCTCCTTTTGAGAGAAACAAAGGCATGTACCTTTATGTTATTGCATCATTTGACTTCATTGTCCCTGAAATAGTGTTATTTCATATATTATACGACTTTCAGGTATTTTAGTTTGTACTGCAATTTCAGTTTAGCTATTTGGTCATGGCTACCAAACAAATTAAATGTATGATAGGCCATGTTCGTCGACGGTTCCTGGTGTTATTGAGTCATGCATGAATCATTTCTAAAGTAATTCTAAATTTTGGTGCTCCGGCTATACAACAGATATATACTGAACCAAATTAAAAACTTCACAATCCTAAAATTTTAACAATTTGACCAGTTATCATTGTGGGCCCTTATTGTGTATTTAAACAGTAATGGCCACGTATTGTCTTCAGATAACACCCGTTTTTGTGCAGGTGAATCGATCAAAATCATGTGCACAGCACTATAGTGGTAAAAGTGGTTTTTCACGTGCAACTGGTCACGT